ACCTACCGGTGCATCCTTTTACGACTACCTGATTGATACGTGTAAGCCATAGGCAAACTTGAGACATGTGATTATGACCCATAGGTAAATAGTTAGATACTCGATGCGTGACCTCTCCTGTATTGAGAGGCACGCCTAGATTAAGTCAGCATTCTACCATGTCCACCACCGAGACCACCCCGTCTCGGACTACCTAGAGACCACCCCGTCTCAACTACATTGTATTCCATCGCAACTACAACGAGACCACCCCGTCTCGGACTACCTAGAGACCACCCCGTCTCAACTACATTGTATTCCATCGCAACTACAACGAGACCACCCCGTCTCGTCAATAAAGGTATATAAACCTTCATATTTCTGGTGGATGCCTCCAAGAACCTCCGCACACCTTGTTGAACTAAGTGATTGATAGGTAAGCCATAAGCACATTTAAGCCGTGTGATTATGACACCCAATAGGTAACCTAAGTTAGATACCTCCACTGTATGACCTCTCTGCTGTATGAGAGCACGCCTAGATTAAGTGAGCATTCTACCATGTCCACCACCGAGACCACCCCGTCTCGGACTACCTAGAGACCACCCCGTCTCAACTACATTGTATTCCATCGCAACTACAACGAGACCACCCCGTCTCGTCAATAAAGGTATATAAACCTTCATATACGCTATTCCCTGCCTTCACTCTGCTGTTTAGAACTTCCGCAAAAAATTTACGAAGAGAGAAGTTGGACACTACTGATTTCCGGAGGTTTTGGTGTTAACGGAACCGACCACTTGGTTGGCAGTGGCACCCGATCAGCGCACCCAGCGTAACTGGTTCCACTTTAACTTTCCAGGTGTAGATATTGTGCAATACATATATATGTCCCTTTTTAAAATTTGTAGTTGTTAGTTATGAGGGTATATACTAGTAAATAGAAATGTCGTATCGAAGTTGGATAAAGAAATGTCCGTATCGAAGTTGGATAACTACTTGTACAGGATACTGATAGCCACCAGTTCAACAAGACCAACCATCATAGCTCGAACAGCTCGAGGAGAAAAATTTCGCTGAAAGTCTGTATATAGAGGTTATTAACGGCCCTGATCACGGTTCTGACCTTTATAATTGGCGCCAACATGCTCTGAATACCCCTCCCCCTAACTGCGGGTTGGGATGCTGCGAGAATCACTTGAGAAACTACAATGCTGCCTCACTGTGTGCCAAATAAAGTACTTTTTCACCTTGACTTGTATTGTTTTCGATGCAGTGTCGACGAAGGTCTCATTTGCTATGCATACTCGACGTTAGAAATATTAGGTCATCCCATTCAAAAGTGCCGTCAGTTTTTTTCGAATAAAACAAGGAGGAGAATAGATAAAAAGTAATATTTTGGCTCCAAGTTAAGTAAATCCCTCCTTCACCAATGACCCGCTCCCAGTGCCCCGAAAGCCTTTGGACCTCTGGTACCTTCGATTTTTCAACAAGTGCGAGTAAATTGCTGTTGATGCCAATTTCGGCGAATGACAAAACATTGTAGCGTTTGCCGTCGGAGAGTACTCTCGACTGACGAGAACAATTGGAATCGCTCGGCTTTATGTTGGGCGAATGGGGCGATTGAACCCAGGTCTCAGTATTGTTTGTGTCCCAGCACTGCCCTACAATACAGTTACGGGGTCTGGCACTATGACGAGCAACGGTGGCCTTCTTGTAGTTGTGTGGTATCATCCATTTGTCGATCTGATTGCCGAGGAACAGGCAATATACACCGACATCTACGATTTTATTCTTCTGTATGAGCCGTCTAAAAGCCACAGTGTAGGAATCCTTTGCTATGATGATCATCCACTTGCGCCCACGTAACCCTTCATGGTAGAACTCGGGCGGCTTCTCATCTGCATTCATACAAAATTGACGATTGTGAGTTTTGGCTCGAGGTCCAAGACCACCCATATTTCATCTGGGGCCGGGGTGCGTTTCTCACAGTCGTGAATGACATCCCATGCTGTTAGTGCTTCTACAAGATAATTAGGTACCCATGCGCACACCCTCTTGACCATCCTCAGTTTATCGGACATAACTCGGGCAGCAGTTGCAGCTGGGATGTCAGACTCGCGGGGAAGCTCGACAAGGGTCCAGGCTCTGTGATCAGATATTCAGTGCCTGACTTCATCCACCCGTTTTTCTTGTGCAGGGATGAATATTATGGGACCACCCACGACAACAAATTTTTTCCTTTCTTAATCAAAGCTTCCATCTTGTAGTCTTCGAGAACACTATTACACATAACTACTGTCCGCGCGGTTCGAATTTGAGCAGCGTAACTCTATGACGTCTATTTGAAAATAAAGCGATGTTTTTTCAATCAACACTCCGCCCTTTCTTTCAAATTCTCCGACAGAGCTTCCTCTGTGGGTAGGCTCGCCAAATTTCACAGATAGACAGCTAAAGGTAATAGCCTCCAAATGGTATAGTAGTCGGCTTCCCTATGACATTCTTTTCCGCCATTCCTCTTTATGTTACGGCACTTTAATGAATGGGATGACCTAATAGAAAAGAGCCTAGAAAGACGGTTTAAAATCGCTTTTCCTCAGCAAACTTTTCACCCATTTTTTGACCTTCCCAGAAATGCATAGCAAAAACGAAACCCATTTTTGTGATCCTTATGTGGACCCCTACAAGCATGCAACAATCCATTTCTGAAAAGCGCGCCACGACCTGAAAAGACCATCACCTTGTTAAAAGATTATTCGTCTGATTAGTGCTTGCAATGTTTTGGATCACGATCGAAAACGTTTTCTTTCTGGAAATTTCAGTTGTTGGAGTCAATAAAACATGCGCTGTCACTCTAGCAAGCTGCAGCGGACGCTAAGTCGCTTGAGGTGCGACCGTCGTTGAAAAGTCTTAAAAAAAATGAAAAGGGTTCCGCGACCACCAAGACACCCATAGTTTGACCTAGGCGCTGGTGGTAAAGAGCAATAATATAACATCCTGTCTCAAAATCTCTGTAGACGACCACTTACCCAAAACGCTAGGCCCCGTCCCTGGTTTGGAGCCGGTCCTGATTACGATGCTGGGATTGCAAGAGTTGAAAGAGGAACTTTCTTGAGAAAACTTTTCGTGCTGCAATCCTAGCAGTCACATGACACTGTACTGGTGAACCCGGAGTGAACTGGATGTGCACGGCACATCCACAGCAAACGAATCTCAGCGTCACCTCAAACGAATTCATGTAGAGCTCTACATGTATTGTAATGCAATTATGAAGGAAGTAAGGAATGCCGCTTAATAATAAATGCAAGGATGTGTACTCTACTGAGTCATTAAATCCGCTAATTTGTCGTTGGTGTGTGTGTGATGTGTGTGGTGTGTCATGTGTGTGTGTGTGTGTGGTCTGTGTGTAGTGTGTGTTGTAGTGTGGTGTGTTTGGGTCTGCTGCAATGTGTGTTTGATCCGGAAATTCATAAACTTACCGTTCAAAACAGCAGTGGGCGCTCAAAATTGATAGTGAAGTAAGGGAGTCGATCAGGCAACACTCCTGTTAGTTGGCAGACTGCAAATTGAGCACTGAATAAGAGACATGTGGAGCCTTCAGAAGGAAGACTCACACAACGCTAATAAACGCGCGTCTCACCGCGACCTAGGACCTTTGTTCCAAGAAGAGGATATGGGCCAAGTGGGAATCATCTGGTGCCTGGCAGGCAAGGATGAACGCTGATAAATAACCATAGGAGCCTTACGAAGGAGGAGAGTCACCCAAAAAGTCATCCGAGCGCCGGCGCGGCGACGACGGACGTGGTGTCGAGAAGATCAGATGGGCAGGGGCAGGATGGAACAATATTTCATCGGCTGCTAGAAGTGGATCACAGCTGATAAGACTAGGAAATGAGCACCCAGAAGCGGAGATCACCAACCATGATAAGCATGCTCAGCAAGCACGCAGAACTGTTGGTCCAGAAGCAAGATAGTGGGCAAGATGGGAACATTATTGGGGGGTGGCAGGACGAGATAACGGCTGATAAGATAGCCCCAAAAATTCACAGCATAGTTGTGGATTACTGGACTATTGCTTCCAGCAAGTAATCTAGAGGTGCTTAGGTAAAATTAGTAGTGGGAGATAAGTTCTGATAGTGTCTGACAAGGGCTTTTAGGAGTCGTATATTCTCAAATCACCGTGGCCAAACGAATCAGTGGGCAAAGGTTCAGTGAGCCAACATGTTCCTATGTTCTCTATCCCTTGGCGATATAGTCGGATTCGATTCGACCGCTAAACTGCAGTGTCAACAAAAAGTAAAAGCCCCGAAAGCTGCTCAAATGATGTACTAGGATGTGAGGACATTTCACCATGATATCGATGTTATTACCCTCGAGACTCTTCCAACCGCTAGGCTCGAATGGGACTCTAGGACTGGGAGTGTAAGCGAAACTCATTGGTGAATGTTCCATGTAAAGGACCAAATAGCGATCGAAATTGGGCCGTAATCCAAAAATGGGAATTAGGACAAGTGTTGTGCCCGCAGAAAAACCTCCTAAGAAGAAAACCTCCTAAAGAAAGACGGATGTCAGTCACATGTGACGATGAGGTGGCAAGTAAAGACCAAGGATGAATCCCCCTTACACGAGTGCCTTTGTAGTAGCCGACGTGCGAAACCCGAATGGAGGTTTCTTTAGAACTTTTATAGACCTCCGCTTGGCTGCCTAATTAAGGGAGGCCCATTTATACGAATAAATAAGGTTATGCGCATACATCAGCTTCCTGTTGTACTTACCATGTGAGATACTATGACATTACTGGAAGATTCCATGAGCGGAAGGAAATGAACTTAAGCACGCATGTGGTATCGACCTACATGAGTAATATTAGTACGACTTTGAAGACCTGAGAATGTTCAAGGTGCTCATAATCCTCGAAATTCGCTGTGATGCCCAAGTGCGAGTACGTACCATTTATAAAAACTAAAATTTATTAAACACGTAGTTTATGATATGCATAAAATAGAAGATCTTTCATTCATCTACAACGTTTTTATTAAATCTGCAATGCTTTGGCCGAGAGCTGACGCTTCTTCCGATGTTTCTGCTTCAGCGTATACACGGACAATATTTTCTGTTCCGGAAGGCCTGAAAAACTGAAGTATAACCTGGTCTGAATAGGAAGATAAGACCTCTCCATGGGTTTTTCTTGGGAAATCAAGCAAAATTACTCGTTCATCTCACCTTACGAACGCTCGGGCACCGTTGTACTTCGCAACAAGGGCGTTGATTTGCTCTTGCACACCTTCAGGTTCGAGTAAAACCGTCTCCTCGTAAGTAGTCTTGTATTTCGAGCGATCGATGACCTTCGAAAATTAGCTTAGTCGTGAAAGGAAAAACATCTCAACATTTATTTCCGACGAAAGGAAGCCATTCTACGAGGGCTGAAAACGTAAAGTGGACCGTGAAACTCTGGAGCTTCCGTGGCAAATGACCATTCTCATGGCATATTCATCGAAAAAAAGGAAAGACCGAGGCAACTTATAATGCTAACTCGGTCAGGCTAAGCAAATATTTTACGGAAACGTACCGGAACCTTTATTTGGACGTTGGGTGCGTTCGCGTAAAGTGATCGTTCCCAGTCCTCTATGGAGTAACCATACCAACGTAGCAGTGACTCCACTACTAAGAGATCTGCCATTGCGTCACCAACAACCTCAAGCACAGAATTTTGACTTCTTCATTAATACGCTACCCGTTTAAAGTTAAGAAGACAAAGGCATTTGTGCATCAGCTGGCCGCGAGATGGTTTCACGATTGTATCGTTTCGAAGGCTCGAAGCTGCTATGTAAGGACGCCATGGCTTTTCCAGGATAAACAGATCATGCCCTCTCATCCCTTTACGTTTCGTTTTACTATCGGCACATAGCGTCGATTCCTTATGTATTCCCTCGCCATGCCATCCTCTGCTACTCTTTTCCACACCCAATGCTCTTCATCGTATGCCAATATATGGCGCGGCTAAGAAACCAGCAAGGCTCTTGCCTAGCTTGCTTGACGATTTTCCTTTCACTGCCGCAGTACCTACTAGAAAGGTCGCTCCGGTCATGGCGCGCCTTTCAGAATCGGTTTGTAGCACGCTGAGGGATACAAGCAAGAATCATGCAGATGCGAATTGATTTTTTGCTATTCTGGGAATGCCACAAGGTGGTTTTCATATCCACAAAGTGTCTTTCCATTCTAGAAGCGTCAGAAAAGCTAGGAATAGGCGACTGAACCACCTCATTCCTGAAAGAGCACAATCAAACAATCAATAGTTGGGAATGGGCGCAGAAGTGTGACAATGTAGGGGATATTGCCACAAGAAGCCCTCAGCGCCCTTGCCCTGCAGATTTAAACAGCGCAAGTGGGCTTCCTCCGCGGCTGTGGACTTACCCATTTCATACATGAAAAGGTTTCGTTCGCCCCGGTAATCGCGCAGTTTACCCCTTCAAGCACTGAATAGGTGTATAAGAATCAACATTTACCTCGTTGATGACAATGGAAAGATAGTGTAGCCGCTTCACAGCACACGAGTGATCGTTCCTGTAAATCAGAAATTTTTGGTCAAAATGGTGTTGTTGTGCTTAACATCGCTACAAGCGCTGGTTACTTCAGTACGTTCCAGAATGACCAAGTATCTAACAAGTAGTTGGTTTGGAAGCAAATAACGAGGGAGCTGGTACTTCACTGTCAAGAGTGGCAGTCTAAATGCGCTGACACCATGTTTTGATGAACTGCAAGTTATGCGAATTATCTCTCTTTGCATCTGTGGTTGAAAACACTATTCGTGTAATTGCGAAGGAAGGTCAGTTCAGGCCGGAAACTGAGAGCCGTGATATTTCCCCTTCACCTGAGTGAAAATCAACAAATGGCAGAGACGAGAAATATAATTATCCCTGAAAATCTAAGAAAAATTGAAGAGAGAAAAGCAGTGGAATAATCAAGGAACCAGCACTGCACAGCAGCGAAATATGTTGAACCAAAGGTAGCTAAATTCTTGCTAACTACTCTCCCGCGAGCGACCGTCCTATTACGCGTTTTAATCAAGGTACATGACGCAGTTGGGCGACGGAAGCAGGGCACATCATTGGTTGGGGAATCCCCAACAGGAGGGGGGTCGTATTTGGCCGCCAGGAGAGGGGGGGGTCGTAATGAGTGCGGTAGCCAGTAACGAGCAGCGCAAAGGTGTCAGTGTGCTGAGTCCTGTGCGAAATTTGCTTTGTAGAGAACCCGGATATGTAAAAAATAGTACAAAACTATCTTTGATTAAACTAATCAACAGAAATCAAAGAAGATAGAAGATAAAAGATATTAATAAGTCGACATCGTCTCGTAAGTATTTATGTGCTGAACAGTACAACTCATACCCTGGTCCGCTGCGGATGATGGGGCGTGTCCTAAGCGACCGCGCTTGGCGCTGAGCCAACCTGCCATTTTTTTTCTTTCGACAAACGACAGGACTATCATCGTTCGTATCAGGCGTTTTCCAGCAGTTGGTCTCCTTTATCGTCAGCAATTGGCGGAGCACAGATCTGGTGGCATCGGACAAGGACACGCTTCATCATCCGCAACGGAAAACACTGTAAACAAGTGCGTAGTTCGCCATGGACCTCCCTGAATCCTATAACACATCTGCTCGCGTAGACAGGCATTGCGTGGAACTTGCACCATCCCACTACCTCTGCGTGGGAGCCTAAGCATGGCGCATCCACAAATGAAGCTAATGGGCACTAAAACACCTACTGCTTGCTCCTATTCCACGAAGGGATGCAACAGATGCATTCGTGGTTATTCGAACACGCTACTTAAAACCGTGCACAGAAAACGGACTTTCGAACAGTTCGGAGTGTTCCCCAAAAATCCCCAACGCAATTATCTCATGAATCCCGGAAACTTCAGAAACAGTTTAAGTAGTTTTTGGAAAGAGAAAATCTTCCAAAATTCGATACTGGTTTCAGATTTCCAAACTATTGAGGTACAAGGGAAATATCTTGGTTTAAACCTGTAAAATTCGCATTGCAAACTATCCACTCCATCCCCAACGCAAATTTCTCTATGAATTTGGCGACCTTTATAAACATTTCAGTATGTTTTGGGAAGCTCAAACCTTTCTCTATACGACTGCGTTCTTCTCTTTCCCACAGGTCCGCTTTTGAGGAAGTTATGGCCCTTTAAAGACACCCTACTTTCCCTGAAAATTCGCGCTCCAATCAAACCACCTTGCAACCACCTTGCGGCTGTGGGTCCTGCCCAGAATCCCTTCCTCCCTTTAATTAGCTGGTTTGCATTTCGGCTGGTTCTCCCTTCATTTTTCTGATTTGTTCAATTTTTTTAATCTATTAGTTTGGTTATGAAGGTTTGTCATGGCAGATGTTTTCCTATCCGCTTGTTTAATTATTAGTTTTCCTGTCACTAGTCGTTACACTGCGACCATGTCCAATTGTGGTCATTTCATCGACGGTAATTAGGAGCGAATATCATGCAACGTAGTTTATTTTCTCTTGAAGTGACCTTTCCTGGAACGCTCTCCGTACATGTCAGTCACTGAGTCCTCCATTGTGCCGTCCTCTAATTTTAATTCGGATTGACCCGAACAATCAGAATGTGTTTTTCCCCGACTTAATCTGAATTGTAGTTTTTGCGTCTGCCGTGATGATCGATGCGTTTCTGCCCTTCCATTACCCTGAACGGACTATGATGTCATTTTCACTCCGATCATTCACCTTTTAGTTGACTGTCGATCTCGCGTGAATTGACTGCATTATGTTCTCCTCTCCCTATAATTACTGTTGCCACCACTTGATATCGATCGGCATCGTTCAGTCTGTAACTTCTTTCTTCGTCACGGTATTTCAAAGAACTTATCTTTTACCAGTTTGGCTGATGCGCACTACTGCGCGCATGGTCCATTCTATGGTACGGATTACAGAGAGGATTTCTGTGCTGACTGTTGCTTAATACGTGCTTCGAAATACGGCCCATTTCATCATTTTTGCACCTTTTCAACCATTGTGTGGCGCTTATCAATTTCTCACAGCACTCGCCATTCGTTGGAAATAGGACAGCTTAGTGGTTGAAGATTAGTTCCGATGGTAGCAATATCGAAAACGTAAATGTGAATGTCCTTACAACCTAGTACTTTCGTTGAGCAGCTTTCACGTATCCGTCTGCTGGCGGCTCTTATCATCTCTCACTGACAACATCTCGGCCTTTTAATTTTGGGTGAAACTCCTAGAGTTTAGCGGTCGAATCAATTTCAACCGCCAAACTAAGGGATTTCGCTAAGGGCTGGAAACATCTTGGCTCACTGCCTTTGCCCGTTGGTTCTTTGGCAGCGGTGGTCAAGTTCACTCGCAAGCAGAGTGAAGATGCGATAGATACTGGTTCTCAGGCCTTGTCTTGCTATCAAAATTTGTCTACCACCACCAAAATCTCCAACCTTGTTCCCTAACCCCCTCTGAATCATTTGCTGGAAGCAGTTCCCAATGATGTCACAACTCGTATTATGAATTTTGGCGGCTTCATTTTCGAAGTGGCCCCTACGGCATCTTATCAGCTATTATCACTTCCTGCCAACCATCAGTAATATTCCCATCTTGCCCCCTTTCTTCATCTTGAAGCTAACGTCCTACCTTCACTGTGACGCATGTTATGAAGTTGATGACTCTCCCTTTGTGAGGGCCCCTTATAGAGTCTTTTCAGCTGTTATCACTGCCTGCCACCTAATCTGTCATCTGATGATCTTTCCATCCTGTCCCCTGTCTTACTTTCTGAAATCAACGTCCTACCGTCGCTGTGACGCTCGTTATGAGGTTGGTGACCCTCCGCTTCTGAAGCTCCTCATGGTATCTTATCAGCCGTTATCACTTCCTGCCACCCACCAATAATATTCCCATCCTGCCTTCTATCTTGATTCTTGCAACCAAGGTCCCGTCGTTGCTGTGGCCCGCGCTGTGAATTTGGTGACCCTCCCCTTCTAAGACCCCTGTGGTATCTTATCAGCTCTTATCACTTCCTGCCACCTACCAATAGTGTTCCTGCCCGACCTCCTACATCACTTATCAGTTTGAGCGCACAATCGCTGTTTTGAAGGAAGTTATGAATTTCCGGTCAAACACACATACAGACACCAACATACAATTCACGATTATATATAGTAGGATGCTGGCGATCTATGCTGGCTCCTCTTATCATAGGATGTGAATTATTTCATTAGCAAAGTAGATGTTGGTAGAATTGTTGGTAGATAGCAAATGTTGGTAGGACTTTTGGCACCCTTCGGCTTGAAGGAGTTTGTTTTGTAAACTACTGTGGAGGAATTTTCAGCGAATTTCAGCTTAGAAGTGTCCATTTTATAAACCTCTGCAAACTTCTGGAAGGTTAATCCGTTAAAAACCAAACCGTAAAAAAAGGGGGGCTGTACCGAACCCCCAGAAAGGGGGGGGGTCGTACGGGCTCGAAAAAATCCCCAACGGATGATGTGCTCTGGACGGAAGGGCATTCTGAACTTTCGCTGCTTCCTATTGGCGTGTCGAGCAGACTTGTCAAATCTTGTGAAGCCAGAACAGGACAATAGGAAGCAGCAGAAGCATAATAGCCGCTCACCCCCCTACCGCCGAACTGCGTCGGGTACAGCATCTTGTCATGTGGAATGACGGTGTGATTACGCACTCCCCAAATTTCTTCATCTGCTACGACCTCTTCCCTATCACAGCTGCCATCTTCCCAAGTTTTACCGGTTAACAATTTCCTACCATTCTCCAAAAAAGGTCAGAATTTTCCCAGTGCTTTTTTTCCGAAAAAAGCTGCCATCACCAATCGTAAAAGACCTTGCGGCTCTGGAAAAATTTTTCTCGACAAATACAACCCTCCCCAGCGACCAAGTAAGACCCTTTGATGAGGTTCACTCTACGATGTCGTACCCTGATTCCAGTGCTCATTTTAGTTGCTCTGATATGTAATAAGCTGACCTTTACTTCGAAAGACTGCAATTCTCTAGTTTCCTATCCAAGCAGTTCAAGTAGCGGAAATGCTATACTTCTTCAACTATTGATCTGCCCACCTTATAGAGGGATTATGAAGGGAACAGAGAAGCCTCCCTGGCCATTCTCAATAGTCGGCTTGCATTAACTTTTAAGATGATAAAAAACCTACTTTCTTATCAGTTGGTCGAACTTTTCGCTGAACACAACCGTTCCGTGCCCATTTGCCTCGAAGTACACGCCAATGTCGAACTTCATAGCGGCATGATGCAGATGTTTAACACCTGTTGGCACGAAAACTGGAGTCACACCCTGCAACGTGAGCATTTATATTTCAGAAAGACCAATCGCTTTACAGAATTAGTCACAAGGTGAAATTAGCTGAAAAATAAAAATGAGGTGGGAGGGGGGGGCAAATAAACAAAGAAGTAATTTGCCGTTCATTACACCTCACATCTGATGAATCTCACTAATCTGGGAGATAATCTGACTCACCACGATTTCTTGGAGGTATTTCGTTGAATTTCCATTAGCATACGCTGTTTGTACAACTCCAACGGATAGTTCAGTGATTCCAGCATCGTCTAATGCCTAAACTGCGAGACGTCTTCAGGTACGTCGTATCACAGGGCCAGAAATTCACTGTGGAGTGAGCGGAAGAATACGGCAATAACAAGTAACGGCTGGACATGGCTGGTACCTCCAGAACACAATATACCATGAAATAGAGCATAACCTAATTTTCGTTGCATTACCTCACGAAAGTATAATCAAATCAAAAGTAAACGGATAGTCAACGCGATCGAAGATGTCAAACTTATTTCAGCAGAAAAATACCGATACGTAAAACCTAGTAGGTTTCGGAGCAAATGGGCATTTGGCAGATGGCGATCGCTGTCTCGCGAACTTGGAGCCCACCCCTGGTGAGGGAAGTTTCCGCATCAACTACGCTGAGACGGTACCTCTTGCTCCTACTCGGCAACTCAATAGTAGGCATTGAGTGCAGGCTTTCACGAAATTTTGATAAACCGCCCATTACTTACTACTATAACTTATTACATTATTACATAGCTTTTCTGCTTGGAATTTTCAGCAGAGTCTCAGCAGCTGCTTCCCTCTTCCCGGAAATTTCAATAAAGGGAAGTCTCTTCAGCGACCAGCATTATCCATCGATTGCTGGTGATGGGCCATAAGCTTAAATCACAGTCCATGGCTCGACAGCATACTCTAAAGACAGTCCCCACAAATAATCCCGCCCTCTGAGACTGCCTCACTGTCCTGGCTCAACAGTATGTAACGAAGGCGCTGCGGTCCTCATAAATAGCAATTCTAACACCTCTCCAATTATCGGGCCCACCAGAACACAAAGGCTATTTTCTGTTACAAGATCGGTTTTACACCGTGTTTTCCGTTTATTGTTTTTCCCCCAAGATTATATTCAGCACCGTTCGATATGACGAAACGCTAAGTGAGCCAGAGGCGGCAGGAAATAGCTTTGCTGGCATGAAAGGAGCACGTTCGAAACACGCGTACAGTGAGGCTATCAGAAGTTGATTTAGGTGTTCTGCAGCTTTCTTTGTAGCTTTTACTTCACTGGAGGGAAGAGGCTCCTGGCAGCAATGATGTTGTGATTGAACACCACTATACGCAATGCACAATCGCGGGGTTTGTTTATCAAGGGAATTTGTGCGAAAATGCAGCCTTGTCCGCTGCGGACGCTGAGGCACTTCAGGAAGCAGGGTCTGGCGCTGCGCCAGCCTGCACCAACAATGCACCTGACTTCCAGCCGGCAGCTATTCATAGCCGCTCTTACATCTGAAACCATGAACATCCCCTCCCTGCAACACCGACGTATGGACTGCTTGTGAGTAACGGACCTACTGCAAACCAGTTCAGTGATACCAGAAGACTGCTCCCTTCAGTAGGCGTTGCACGGCTCATAAGTTTAACACCAGAACATCTCACCTCTTTTATGAACTTCGTGAGGAGTACAGCAATAATGTCGCCATCCAGCAATGTAACCTTCTTTCCGTCACCAGTTGCTCTGTAATGATGGCGTAACACTCCAATATCACAGAGCAGACCTCGTTAGAAAACACTATCGAGCAGTCAGGAGCTTTACACACACATAGGAATGGTTTTCGATTGAGCTTTCAGGACCGCTGTCTTCTACAATATATGAGATTTCCACTTTGCGAGGGAGGGGGGGGGGTGGGAGGAAAAAGCCTGCCAACTGAGAAATAATAAATGAGGAAGTGAGATGCACCTAACCAAACATTGCGTTTCCCATAATTAAGTTACAATAAAGTTGATTAGGTCAACATTCAATCAAAGCTACATATCTTGTGTTATCCTGCGTAAGTACGTTTTGGAGCGGCGCCACCTCGTTCCCCCATCGTTACCACTATGGGCGCGCAGCAGTTGATGGGAGCAACCAAAGTGTGTGCATGTAGCCGACGCCCTAGTGAGCATCGCGCTTTTTCACCATCTCCAAGAAACCATGTTAGCAACTCAGTGATTATGAACATGACAGTCTTGATTCGTCCTGCCAACGGGAGCCAACCAACGACTTCTTTCACGAACCTACCGGAAATATATCAGTCTGTCTGCATCCCCATCGAATGAAGCGCATTTTTCAGTCACGTCAACATCGTCAAAACCGGCAGGCAAGACCTGCCCAATCTTCACGTAATCAGCACCACACTGGAAGGTATCAACATTGAAAACAAGAACAAATCCAAATTCTACTGTTTATGGATCTCCTATTAGTGCCTATGCGCATCTATAAGATAAGCTGGAAAGTTTTGGGAAACACTTTGAAATTATCACCAGCACGAATCACAAGTGGTTTGAATAATCTGATTTATAATATCAGTCAGAAGCAAGTTTCTCAAATATCACTCGTTTATAACTTGTAAACTGCAATATCAATACCCACTTTGCGTACCCTGTACTCGCGCCACATCAGATTTCTTCGTCCGCTTTCGCTCGAACATAAAAGCTGCCGCGTTCACACTGATGGAGGGAGGACCAAGTGCGATCTGAACGTCTCTCCAAATCCATTTGAGGAGCAGCGACAAAGACGCTAGACGCTCTCGCTGCTGTCTACACCAAAAACTATGGAAGTGGAGGTGGACTTGGTCAAAAACCAAGATCCACTCATCTCGAGCTTGTCCACCTCAATGTCCATTTAAATGCTTCTCTGAGTATTGAGCTGTCCCAGAGCCTCATTGGAATCTAAATGTAAACAAAACAAAACAGGCACCAACACTCACTGCAAAATCCTCCAAAGATTCGAAAGAATTCGAAAATTTTTGCAAAAGATTTGTTTCCTTGAAAAAAAATAGAAATCAATTTTTCTGTAAACACTTTCGGCTTCTTTTGGATCTTTGGAGTTTTTTGCAATAGATTTTGTTGCCCCTTTTGTTCTGTTTTGCATTCAGCCTCTTCTATGAACTCTTTTCACACCCATAAAAGAAGCAGGTGGCAGGGCGGTTCTTGCTCATCTCCCATAATCAGAACATACCATATAAAGCAGGAAATTACACGTTTTCCGTCCATCATAGCTGAACAGCGCTGACTCATTCATTATAATCCAGAACGGAAAAACAGCATATTATAGTAATTGAAGGCAGCTGTTATGATGAACTACTTTTTCGAAATTTCGCAGTGACAGGGAATTGCTGAAGTGGCCATTCAAAATGAAATGTGCATCTTCGGATAAGCTACTGGACGCCGATTACAAGCCATTCTCAAATCTATGGTCAGCTACTATATCTATACCACATCCGCCGCTCAAAGCAGAATATTGATTTGACGACATCCTTTATAATTTCCCTCATGACTGTGTGAGAAGAGAATATTAACCAAAAAAATAGTTCACCAACCTCGTGGTTCAATTCACCGTCTTCATTTCTGAACTCAATGTTCAAGGAGTCCTCTGGAAGGAAACGGCACAACATGCGCATCTTCTCCGCTCCGACACCGTTGGCACAGTCAAGTATGAGATGAGATGAATAGTCTGATTTATCCGACTTTGTTCCGAGCTGAAACGATTCATTTCAGTAACTTCGAAGTTATTTGTTGGTTTATTTTATTTCAGCCTTTATTTCAAGATACATGCACGATGTTGACTCGATGGAATCTGGGGAATCATAATCTAAGTTTTGCTCTTTAAACGAATGTAATTTCCGTCATATTCGTCCTCTCGCAAAATAGAAGTGTCCTTTCTTCTGATAAGCGCCATTGGCTATCGTTCACGCCAACCAGCCTTCTATTTCCAGGATAGGGTGAACTGGCAATAGATTTGTGTGCGGGGATAAAAACACTGTGTTCTACATCGGCTGGCCCACATATCATTGTATAGGCCATGTAGGATTTGAAAGCGACTACGAGTTGAATGCAAGGGGAATGCGTGTCGGCTCCAGAAAGCGAATGATAAAAGTCGGAAGCTTAATCGTTTTATGAGCTCTCGCCCGGTTTTTTTGCGTAATTTTAGGTCCTCAAAAGCGTGATCCCGTTGCCCAAAACCAATCAATACACTGCTGCACTGTCCACTGTTGACTAACAATGCACTTAAACTCCTCCCTACAACGAGCAAGTACGACCCCCCTCAATGGGAATCCCCTTACGGTCACAATGCCTGGATTCCCAGGGCGCCTGACGACCACTCCGGGGTGATTCATGAAAAACGAAGTATGAACCACAGCGACATTGTCTAACCAGCCGAACAGCTGTTATCTTCCAGTATAAGGGTCACAGTAGAGCATGCGCCTTAGTAATACTGACAGAAGTTCGCCAAAGCGTATAAACCAGCTGGAAATAATGAATGCCTATCGTGACGGCAGTGGAGGATTGACTCCTACTTGTAGAGGGATATTTCAATGCCATACATGTTAATTTCGTCACCACGTGCGACGTGACCTAGGATAGTGCTTACTAAAATGGATCCTGTAGATGTTACCATTGCATATTGATATTGATAATAGTGCAGAGATTGAAAAAATAGATCAAAAACCTTGAGAAGCTTCTTAAACGCGTCCGATACACGGGCGTAGTATCCGATTTCTCGTGCATCACCAAAAGTCGGATCGTTCTTGCACCTCACAATGTAATGTAATTGTGGTGTAGTTAGAACCCCTGAAATGCTAGGGGTTCAAGTACGCTTGCATTTTCGACTCTTCAGAGAACGATAGAAGAACTCCATCCTATTCTATGATATTACTGACCATGGCTTTCATAGGCCACACCCATTAGGGCTGCGCCCGCCTTTGCCGCCTCGATAAGATGTGGTCCACTTTCGCGAGAGTCCATTGCACAAATCACCAAAGCCTTCGGAGTTGCGACTTTAGGCGCTATCTGAATCGCTTCTTTCCGGGACAAGAAGGAAAAAAGAAATAACAAAAGAAATTCTAATAAATAATATTCCAAACTTACTTGAACTTCAAGCGCTCGGACCGCCGTTGGCAGCTGTTCGTCACTGGCATTTACAAGTTCTGATGCGTACCTCTGGAAAGGACTCGGAACATGTTCTCGGAATAGTGATATTCTACATACAACGGGGGAAGGAAGCGGGGGGTGGGGGGAGAGGACGTTTCGCTCAGATGACTTGCCACCTTTGTGGATGAGCTCCAACTCAACTGAGTCGTTTCGAAGAAAACTGATGAAAGTATTGATTGCTCAAAACTTATTCTAAAAGCATGGAGCAATCGGTTTCATTCAGTTAGTTGATTCGTTGATAAAAATGAAAACAGAAATTGAAATTTGATCTTGCAGGATTGAAAGGTGGTTTATTTCCTCTTCCCTCCTTCTAGTTTTCGTGGTTCGATCGTTATTGTGGTTCATACTATTAGTCAAGCATTATTATGTTCTGGTATGCTATATTCTCTGAATTTGGTCCCTCCCATGTCGACACGTGGGTCTTGGTGGGGTTGGCGGACCTACTAAGTTGGTATCCGGAGCCGCTTGATGCCTGATGCGACTTGCAGTGTTGGCGGGCCACTGCTCTTCACCACCAAGCTCCCCACTCCATCCCATAAGCCCTCTTCCTCCTCTTTCACTTCATAATGTGAGCCACCACTTTCGAAGATACCACTCTTTCCTCAGTGTGTTTTGTAATCAAAAAATTTTTTTCTACTCACTTTTTCGCATATAATGTCTTTGTAATAGTTGGTATTTTTTTCTCTCATGATGTTTTTCTTCAGTAGCCGATAATAAATGTTAGATGTTAGATTGCATCATCGAAGCTAATTTCGCACAGGCACAGGGTGATAAGGTACACGGAGAACCTTTCATACAATATTCCTAGGTCTCCCTCCGTAAGCAGGCGTGAGCACTCTACTTCAGCCCCGACGGCATGACAAGAAGATGCCGTCCTCTATCGACGTCGTCTGCGAGCTCAAGCTGGCCTACAGTGTTGCATCAGCTCAAAGCCGCCGCACAGATACTCCCGCTGGATCACTTGCGCGCAAGTTCCTAGAGGCCGTTGCAATAACTGTGGAAGACACGAGCCGTCCAGCTTTTGGGAGAACGTCGCTATGGTCCATGACTTATTTTTCAAGGCTCGACCTCACATTTTTTAGGGTCGATCGTACGAATTAAGTTGAACGTCAAGTGCTCTGAAATTCCGGGCTTGTCGCTTCGATGGCTTTCGAAGGCACATGGATTACGACCAGTGCCCTGGGTACCTTTCAAAGCATCCATTACTCCGCCGCTCCGTGCGGAAAAAGTTACAGGGATATTCTCACAAGACGGTTTTTTTTATACACCCCACTCTATTTACGAAGGGATATGGTCCTGGCTCGAACACAACTATGGATCTCATGTTATCGCTCACCAGCCTGATCTCAGAACTTTCGCATTACAGGGCCGACGTTGGCAGCCGGAAGCATTTGTAGGAAGATAGTAGCTCTAGTTATAAGATTAACCAGTCGGATCGCCCGGCTGACGCCGAGCTCTCCTCCTTCTCTTTAGCTCGGCTTCGCCGAGCTGGCCTGGCTTCGCCAGGCGCGCTCCATTTAACGGAACCTTTTCAATAGTGGGCTGCTCATACGGCGCTGTAGTGATCGAATCGTAACAGATAGAGCAAGGCTTAGGATCCTGCACTACTTAGCATACAATGTGTAGTCGGCCAATACAGCGCAATATGAATCGCTCAGTAAAAGAACAGATTTCGTTTCCATTACCTGCACCGAAATGCCTACCGATGAATGTTCCCTTTTCAATGCAATCCGCTCCCTGAAGTATTTATTAGTAGGTACTATACTCCCTTGTTATTCGTTCTCATCTGTAATTGAATGATCAAAAGTAAAAAGGAGCTGTTGAACGCATGAAGCGCCGCATTATTCACGTTTCTGTTCTTCCGGAGTTTCCTGTTTCACGCAAATTATAATTCCCCCCCCCCGCTCGTCGACATCGACATTATATAGTAGGATAGTGGGATGAGTTCATTTTCTAGTGCTATCAGAGAAGTGATGGCTAAAGGAAAAGTTTGCACACTGAGCCTTCAATACTTGGCAGTATAGTGATAAGAGATGTATGAGAATGGCCCCTTATCCTTTCTTATCAATTGATAAGATTGCCTGTCACCCGTCATCAATGTCCCTATCACTAAAACTCTATAATTTGGTAGTGTAAAGGCTCCAGCACTTTGACTGAACAACAACGGCAACGTTCCTTATCAGCCCCTATCAGCTGTTATCACCTCCTGTCACCTGCCGCCGATGTCCCCATCTCCCACTCTATATCATTTTCTGAAATCAACGCCTAGCTGATGCTGTGTATCGCGTTATGAGTATGGTGACCTTACCATTCCTAACTCCCTTATCAAATCTTATCAGCTGATATCACTCCCTGTCACCCATCAATAATGTTCCTGTCCCACACCCTATACCATACCTTGGAACCAACGTCCCACTGTTGCTGTGACCCGCACTATGGACTCGGTCGCCCCT